CCAGCATTTTCCGACAATAATTCGACCTACTCCAGTTCGCTTTTCCAGTAGTAAATCGGCCATTTGGCGTATCGAATCTTTCCTTACTGGCAGACCTCTAGCTTCCATTGATAACATCCATTGTATAAGTGCTGATTCCTCGAGGTCGGTGAGTTTCTGGTTTCGGGGTCGGAAATCGCGTTGTGGAATAGCTCCCTTGACGCGGTCGTAAGTAGTAGAATATGGCGCATCGTACCTTGTACAAGCTGCTTTTAAGCTTGTAAATTGACCCTTATTGTATGCACTGATTGCAAGAGCAATTTGACCTTCTTTTCGAGACATTTGGACAATAATTGGGTAAGTTATGTAGATTGAAAGTGTGTAGGGTGGTCAATGGTGGGGTAAAAATCCGGACTGCTTATAAATCCGGACTCCTTATGAAGTACGTTACCTAGTTATCTTTCCTTCCTCTCTAATGTAATTTCTGAGCTTCTGATTAATATAGGCATTTTGAGCGTTTTTTAGCGTACCTAAGGGGGTATATTTATATACAAAAATTCATCGCTTATTGTACACGGACCCATGGATGAACCGCCATTTTTCTGTCCACCGCGAGCCACGCTACGGGACCACTTGGCTTGTCCCGAATCTAACCAGGCACCTATGAATAAGTACATTTTCTAAACTGGATTACTATAGTCATGGCATCGTTCAAATTTAATTAACCATGAAATGGGGCCAAAAGACTCATCTAGACCTCGGGCTATTTTTGCGACCACCCGAACAACATTTGTATTTTCCGAAGATTAACATTTTGTGTTGCCAAAGGGAAGATTGAAGGTGTTTTGATATTGTTCCACAAGCCATTTGATTTTCTCGGCAATTTATCTTCTCCCAGTCAGGATTGATCGCAACTCTTCTACTTTAGCACAATCATGATTTGTTAGCAACACAGAATTCGATTTCTGTTGTAGCATCAAGGTTTCAGTATCGGTCATATTGGAGAGTCTGCTGATCGATTTCAGATTTGAATCTCCAAATTCAGTGAACTGATCATCACACCAGCGCTCCTGCTTAATTTGGGCTTGGGTTGGCTTAACTTGTTCATGATAGGATCAGATGATGCTATTCAGCTATTGACCTCACTTTCGAAAGTGACTTCAGGGTTGTCCGATACTTTGTTATGTACTTGTATTCAGCAGATTTCTCGTCCACGGGCCTCTGGGGTTGCCACGACAGGAGCGATATTTGTCTGTGACTAAGTACAATTTTGGCTCTCAGCCGCGGAAAGCCATTGAAATATCATCATTAGTCTGCTTCACTTTCGATCATGATATCCGGAGCTTTGTTTGAACTTTGAGTTGCTAGTTGTCAACTGAACATTCGGAATCATGTCCAGTAACTCAAGCGCGAGAATGTTTTTGGCTGGGCACGCACTAGCAGATAATTTGAAAGCCCACTTTTACTGTACCAACTATTGACGCTATATTTCAGATACTGATCAAGTTCGCCGTACGAAGTGTATGAATGAATACGAAGTGTATGATTGAAGTAAAACGTATTATCCCATGAAGCTGAGCACACTCTCCGCTCATTGAGTCATATGATGACCCACCTCGGCAACGTTATACTGGTAAACGATTTTGCCACGGTACATACAATCATACCAGTTTCTCTTTTAATCTCCAATCTCTTCGCATTCTCACACCTCTCAATTTCTCAACTCTTTCAACTTCTACCGTCCCCTCTTTTGCCTGTCGTCCAATTCTTGTACTTTTCATTCCATCCTTGATTTCCTTCACCTCTTTACAACATGAAGCTCCCACTTCTACTGTTTATCTTGGCCTCCTTATGCTTGATTCCTGGGAATCTGACATCACCTCTAAATAAAATCCCGGAGGTAAGAAGGGCAGCAGATCAATGCCAGGACGACCCCGCTTGGAGAACAGCAGTTCACAACGGGGAGATTGGTGTTCCCGACGAAAGTGAAGTTGGAGATAACTGTTACTACCACTTCTCCCAAGCAAATCTCGATGCGTCCGGCGCTATCGACTTCTACGAAAAGTTCACCAAGAGTCTTACCGAAAGGGATCAAACCTTTGGGGGGTTTCATGAGTGGAAAGCCGCAGGGACTATAATCTTCCAAACCCCCAATTTTGCTTGTGGTGCTCGACGTGAAGGATCATGCAATTTCCCCACGCTTCGTGATCTTAAGGGTATCTACGGTCCCCAAAATCGTACTGTCATTCGCCGCGCATATTTTGTGGGTCAAATGCTCGAACGTATCCACGAGCAAAATCGCCATGACCAAGTAGGTCCTGCCTTCATACAAAAGGCTATACGAGATGGTAGACTGACTTTAATAGGAATTGACAAAAAATAGTTTCAAAACTGCACAAGCTTTTGCTCCTTTCATAGTCAAATGGACTATCCCACAATCAAATCGTGCTGATACGGAAGCTTGCGACCGTATAACCAAGCTTGTCATGAGTCTTCTCGGGAGACTTGTCAATGAGGTGATGGGACGGATTGAAATTTTTGCCAAAGAGTTGGGTGGAGATATCGCCGCAAAACTCACGAAGGTCATGACTGATGCTGCAAAGAATCAAATCCTAATGTCGAACTTTGGGGCAGGTACTCCAGGAACAGTCGCTCGGCTCGTTTATGCAAGCCTTCTGTTGAAAGGCTATCATGATTCCATGGCAGAAAGGGCCCATAGACATCATAATCACGTAAAAACCCCCATATCTACACAGCCGTTTTGCCATGTAAGTCCCGCTGTTTCTTTTGCGACTGCACCCGCCAATTCATGTTACCTCTCCCGTCATACAACATAGTTTGGCAGCCCAAAACCTTTATTTAGCCTCTGCTTGCAACATGCTTCCACAAGCGCTAGTGAACACAACCAAAGCCACTTTTACATTGCTGGAACTATAGCTTACATTCTTTCAAAGGGCCTTGACATTCCTGATGTAAATAATGTTAACATTGAGCGACTGAACTTGGAATTCGCTGAGATGTTAGACGACCTGTTAAACCGAATTCGGCTAGCGCAAGATATTTTGTACAGGAGAAATATTACTGAGCCCTCCCTCACCCTTCTGATAATGAGAAATACAAATTTCACGGAGCTCATCAAGCAGCAAGACGCTGATTTTGACTCAAGACATACGTAAGTTTGAAAGGGGCTTTCCGGTATTATCAAGAAGAAAAACTGACCCTGCTTTAGAACGGTAGTTCGGAATCTTGTAAAACAACAGGTCGGCGAACTGGGTTCACAAGGTCATAATTTACAAATCTGCGTTCATGACGATAAGCCTTGCGAGGTACACAAAGAGGATCCAAAATTCAAACACAATTCTTACAGTGACACTATCTTTTGTCCGTATCCAAAAACATATCCGTACCTAAAGTGTTCGCTGGGACAACTTCGTTTTTCAGCCACGGCATTGACGGACGATGTTTGGATAGGTGGAAGCTCGCTCCGAGAGAATATTCAAAGATTTGGAAACGATACTGGGATGGTTTTTGATCTCGAAGCACTACAAAAGGAAGCTCTTATGGCATACTCTATTTATGGAAATAGACCTGTGGAAGTGCCTTTGGGAGATTCTGGATTCCTACCAATCCCAAAAGTCCAATTTGGTTTACCAGTCTGCATCATGCCACAAGCAATTGCAGAAGATTTCACGGTCGAGCCCGTTTTGCACACGCATGCCAGAAACATTCCAGCAATGTGTGGCGATTGGCGTGGAAATGAAACGGAATTATTTCATGAAAGGATGGGGTTCCAAATAAATAGTCCACTCAGGAATAAAGTTTTTCGACAGGATATAGTTCCCAGTGTGAGTATATCTTCTTTCAGAGCTACAGAGTTGTTTGGGCAGTCAATTAACATCCGTTGTAGCTCTTTGAAAACATGCATCTTTCCTCCGCGTCGTTTTTCTTGGGATTATGTACCAACGGCTATCATTGGCCTCCCAGCTCTGGTCACGATCACATTGGTAATGGAACTCATGAAGCTTGCGACATGGTTGCAACAGCTACTCAAAACATGACATACGGGGAAGGGGCAAGGTGGTTTTGCAGAGACGATCCAGAGATCAAAAAGGTCAGAATTTCATTCAACTTGAAATTTCTTCGCTAATACTTAGTGGCAGGTTCGTGATTCGATTGATCGAGTTGCACAACTAACGGGCTTGGCGCACCTTCCAAAACCTATCCCAAGTCTTTCCTCCAGGTGCAAAGCTTTGTTAAAGATGGAATTGGGCACCCTCGATGAGAAATGGTATAAGCATTATCCTGATGGCAAGCACTACCTCAAACTTGGTCCTCCGGAAGGGTGGAATGTGACAGACACTTGGATCTGATTGTCAATGTTTTTGATTGAGGCAAGAAACAAGATACTGTGTAATGATTAGCGTAATGATTCGAGATACCCAAATAGATTATTTATTTCGCCAACTTTGAATTACATTTTCTGATAGTTTCCTGCTAAATTCCGGGTTCAATCCTGATGAGCCAGTTCTGAATCGCAACAAGTGGCCTTTTTTGCATTATGTTTGAGATTAAAGGAGTTGTGTCAGCTCTATATACAATTCCATTCAAACACTTAACACAGAACTACGCTATCCTACAAATCGCGATTGCACATTGAATGAGATATTCCGTTGTATTTCTTTCTTTCCTAATAGATATTACAATCTATATAACTTAATTTATTCCCCAGAAAGATTTGAGTTATTGTTGTAATACCAGCAAGAAACAGAACCAATAGGCAAGCCTACCATCTGGTCGACCCTTCAAAACTCGAATGGTAAGATATCTAGATATTGCTCTGTACACGCTTTCAAAAGTTATTATACTAAAAGTCTGCAGACACACACCTTTTTTCGTAGATTGAATTTTTTGTTCTAAATCGCTCAATCTCTCTTACTCTCGTTTAACAAGCTAAATTCCTTCCATGGAGACTGCTCCAAGGAGACCTCCGGTCTCGCCTACGCCCCTGGGAAGGGGCTTGAGAAAGGGGAGAGTACGCCCGATGGGCCCTCTGCCCAACATACAACAATACTTCATCTCTGGGACTACCAAAGCACTAGAAGGTGATGCCATAGGCCAAATCTTCTTCGGGGGAACGACAGAAGCTGTAGACCACTATCTAAGTACTGCTCTTGATGGGGCACCTCCGGACCTCTTGCCCTACCTCAGGGCCTTTTGCACCCAGGTAGCCGACCTCGGCCTAGCCTTCCACCGAATGTACACCTCAGCGGCCCCGCCTCCACTACCTTTAGCTCTCAGTGACTCCTACAGGGGTGTAAACAGCCCTACGCCCCCTACAATTCCAACCCCCTCTTTGGCTCCTGAGAGAAAAATTTCATACGTACAGACCACAAAGAATGCCCCAGCGCCTGAAAACCCAGGCTCTACTATAGCAACTACTACACTACCTCCTCCCCCGCCTCCTGTCACTTCAAAGCTACAGAAGAATAAGAGACCCCTAGCGAAATCTGACCTTAGGGTCTTTATACGACTACCTCTAGACTCTCTTGAAAGGAAAAACTCTGCGCTAGCTATTTACCTTGCCCTCTGCGACCCAAAAATTGGCTGTAAAGAGCTTGTACAGGAAGTACTATTAGTTAACTCTGCATTTGCTATTGTCCCCAAGGACAAAGAAGCCCTTAATACTATTCTATCAACAAAGAAGGCCTTTATCCAAACCCTGTTCTCTGCAGCTAGAATAGAGACCTCGTAAGATTGGGCAGCTAAGAGACCCCTAGCGAAATCTGACCTTAGGGTCTTTATACGACTACCTCTAGACTCTCTTGAAAGGAAACACTCTGCGCTAGCTATTTACCTTGCCCTCTGCGACCCAAAAATTGGCTGTAAAGAGCTTGTACAGGAAGTACTATTAGTTAACTCTGCATTTGCTATTGTCCCCAAGGACAAAGAAGCCCTTAATACTATTCTATCAACAAAGAAGGCCTTTATCCAAACCCTGTTCTCTGTAGCTAGAATAGAGACCTCGCAAGATTGGGCAGTATTCCGCCTATTAGGGGTCCCTCGTAGTATTGAGACTGTCGAAATTAATGAAAAAGGAGCGATTTTATCGACCCTTTCCTCTACTACTCCGCAAGTAGTAGCTACAGCTATAGAGGAGCGAATTGGAATTACACCTACGAAGGTTGACATGGCCACTAGCTCTCTCTCTGACGGGCTGTTCTATACCTCTTGGATTGCATTCTTTAAGGAAGAGGAAGCTAGGGTCCCTCGCGCTATCCCCGACATAACATCTCTCCTTGGAAGAAGAGCCTTTTTTAAGCGCCTCCCTAAAGTCTCTGCTGTTATACAGTGCTCTAGGTGCTGGATGTGGCACAACTCAAGGAACTGTGGCAAGAACCAACGATGCCGCTTATGTGGCACCACTAAACACTCTAAAGCTTTCCACCCTACGTGCATTAGGCACTCTTAGTGTAAACTAAAGTGCATACACTGTAGTGGCCCACACGCCTCAGACGACCCTACGTGTCAGCTTAGGCCAAAAGCCTCAGGAACACACCCTTCAACCGAGAACAAGAGAGCTGTTCAACAGGCATGTAATGAGATGCGGACAAGAAGAGAAGGAGAGTCTCCATGTAGTAGCGTAGACACGGTGATAGAACCAGAGCTGCCTACTACTCCTTAGAACCCCCCCCCTTAAGCTAGCATATACAGCCCTCTCACGCCCTCCTCTGTAATTCTCTAACGGGAACAAGTCCCTCGCTACTACTACAGAAGAGGCATACTACGAACTCCCTAGACAAGGATACATAGACACTAATCCCTCTAATTTATTATAAGTACACAGGGATTTACTTAACACTACTGCCTCTAAGTCCTACAAATCAATGTACACAAGTCTAGCGATTACCAGGAGCTAGTACTACAGCTAGCCCACATTAAGCGAGTTGATGTAGTACTTATCCAAGAGCCATATATCTACCGAAAGGAGATTAGTCGTTAGATCACAAGACGCCACTCGAATTACGACTACTTTGCATCTATATGTAACTGGAATATCAGCCCTCCTAGGGCACTCACTTTGGTACGAAAAAGGGCTGGCATCCTTGCAAGGCAACAGACCCCAATCCCCCTCTCGCTTAAATGCCGAGACCTTGTCTATGTTAAATTTACACTCTCCCAAGGCCACTCACTTTATATACTCAACGTATACAACGCGCCTTTAGGTGCTAAGGATGCAGGGGAGGCTGTTAGCCTTGTTCTTAGCTCTCAACATATCCTTATAAGAAACCTCTTCCTAGCTGGGGACTTTAACCTGAAAAGCCAACTCTAGCAACCTAACTTCCTTGGGCAAGAGAGTACCCAGGCCCTCTCGCTCATTAACTGGATAGAGGATAGAGGGCTATAGCTCACTACCCCTCCTAGTACTTAAACTCACAACCTTGGGAATACTCTCGACCTAGCCTTTTGCTCTAGCAACCTCTATCAAAGAGGGTCAGCTACAGAGGTTGACCTTACTTTTGAGTGCGGCTCTGACCACCTCCCGGTTCTCACTGGCCTGTCGTGCTTTGGAGGCCTAGCTATGAAGGACCCCCCCTTGAGACTTAGCACTCTTAATGTCAAAGACTTTGAGGTAGCTCTACAGGGGAAGCTTGAAGAGCGATGGTTGTACGAGCTAGGTGAACAAACGAACACAGAATCGCTAGAGGCTCTAGCAAGATTTATCATTGAGTGCGTACATAGTGCGTATCTCAGCAGTGCTAAGCGAGGCCGTGGGTATGGGTTTGGACACCCCTGGTAGAACAAGGAGTGTCAGTCTGCGGCCACCAAGGCCAGGAAGGCTCGAAGGCTCGAAGCCAGCCTAGAGGCTGTGAAAGGTCTTCAGAGGGCTCTTAGACAGGAGATCCGGAAGGCAAAAGGAGCGCACTTCCGTAGCCTGATCGACAAGGCTACTAAGAC